CCACCTGTCGTTTTGCTCCTCAGCATGGCTTCCTAAAAATGCTGCAAGATTTCTCAAACATGCATGAATAAGTCAAAGCAAGGCTTTGGGCATGCTTTTTTTATGAGAGTATAACATTATAACATGATATAAAACTCAAAAAAGTTGATTTTACATGAAATTGCCCCTTTAAACTCCTCCACTTGGGGCAGGACCTCCTCCCTGACCCAAAGAAGGCATCCTACAGGTTTCCGGCTCAAGACCATGGTCTCGAATTTGGAGGCACTGATCCTCATCTTACATCTACGATCACATCAAACTGTACCTGAGTGTTCACATCCAATAAATTCACTTCTGGGACTCACGGGATGTTTTGATAACACGCAGTGTTTACTCTGAAAGGTAGTTCTGAAGTTTTAAGCAAAGTATTAGTGTGACGTGTAGAGCTCACGAGTGTTGTTGTGAACAAAACCAAGCTTTTAGTTCCAGCTGGTTTCAGGCTCTTTGACTTGATTTCCCAACATTTCGATGATAATTCAGCTTTCAACCTTTCAGTCTCAGGTTTACAACAGACAGTTTTTGTCATAAACTGACTCAAAAATCCGTAAACTAATTTTCTAATTCTAAATGAGTCAACACCGTAAACTAATCTTGCAGCTAATTTATAAATAAGTAGATAGTACAGTATGTACAGCTAACTGGATGTTGTTGTAATGTAGTGTGAAGTTAGAGCACTGTGAGTTACCTTTCTGTTTTTGTTTACGTATTTTGGCTCCAAGACTTGGGCCCCAAGATTTCTGTAAGGTATAAAATACAGACAGAATATGATTACTTAATAAAACTGAATAGAAAAAAAGAAATAAAAATAAAATTAAAAAACAGGATCTAGGAAAACTAAAACATATTTCCATGAGCCAGTTTATTACCAGCTTTTATTCATTCTACTTCATAGAGAACTCTGAAATATGAAAATAACAAGCTGACATGCTAAACTAGAATGTAAACATACTGAACAGGAACATCAACAGCCTAAAGAGATAAGTAAATGTGCTAAAAGAGAAGGTAAATATGCTGAACTGAAACGTAAACCTACTGAACAGAGATGTAAGCATGAGATAGATAGATAGATAGATAGATAGATAGATAGATAGATAGATAGATAGATAGATAGATAGATAGATAGATAGATAGATAGAT